GACCCGTTCGGATCCTTCCTGTACTGGCGGCCGCCCCTGCCCAGCATCGAGGAGGAGCTGCGGGAGCTGCTGGTGAGAATCTTCGGGGCTCTTCTTCCTGTCCTCGCTGTGCCGTTTCTGGCTGGCCTTTCCCGACCCCTCTGTGCCGCCCTGACCCTCTCCTCCCCCCGCATGGCCCAGGCCATCTCCGGCAGCCCCGAGCCCCCCGAGGAGCACCGGAGCCCTGCAGGTGGGGCCAGCGCCGGTGAAGAAGAGGAGGAGGAGGAGGATGATGATGAGGAGAGCGATGATGAAGGCTGGATAACTCCCAGCAACCTGAAGCAGGCCCAGCAGGACACGGGGCACTGCGACACTGCTCCCATCGGTGTCCAGGTTGGCTGTGTCACCACAGACTTTGCCATGCAGGTGCGTGCTGGGGGACTCTGACCTTGGGGCTGCTCCCTCCAGGGCAGGGCTGAGTCCCTGGGCAGGGGAGAGCAGCTTTGGGACAGCTCCCTGTGTCAAAGCAGCAGGGTCTCAGTCCCAGAGGCCTCTGCAAAGCCTGTTGGGCTCTCACTGCCCCAGCTGCTGGCATTCCCAGCTGCTGGGGTCGCGGTGTGCTCTTGCAGAACGTGCTGCTGCAGATGGGTCTCCACGTGCTGGCCGTGAATGGGATGCTGATCCGCCAGGCCCGGAGCTACATCCTGCGCTGCCACGGCTGCTTCAGGTGCTGGGGCTGATCCCGGGCTGGGCCTGTGTTCCAGGGCCCCAGGAGCTCTGAACCCCCTCTGTCCCACCCTCACAGGACCACCTCGGACATGACCAAGGTGTTCTGCCCCCACTGCGGTAACAAGACCCTCAAGAAGGTGGCAGTGAGTGTCAGTGACGATGGGAGTCTCCACATGCATTTCTCCCGCAACCCCAAGGTGCTGAACCCCCGGGGGCTCAGGGTGAGTACCCCAACAGAATCCCTGAGGTTGGAAAAGACCATCAAGATCATCAAATCCAACTGTGACCTTTCCTCACCTTAACCCCAGCCCAGAGCACTGAGTGCCACGTCCAGTCCTTGGACACCTCCCGGGGTGGGGACTGCAGCACCTCCCTGGGCAGCCCCTTCCCATGATTAACAACCCTTTCTGGGAAGAAATTCTTCCATTGGGGGCGCAGGGACAGGAGCCCAGCCTGTGGCTGGCAGATTGGAGGTAATCACAGCAAACAGAGAACATCCTTCAGATGTTGCACTTGGACCCCAGGCTTTTTGGGCTTCCCTGCTCAGCTCTCCAGGGGGCTGTGGCCACCTGGGAGTCCCCGGGAGCCGGGGCTGATCCCTCCTGTCCCGCAGTACCCGGGGCTGATCCCTCCTGTCCCGCAGTACCCGGGGCTGATCCCTCCTCTCCCGCAGTACCCGCTGCCGGCGCCGCAGGGCGGGAAGCACGCCAACAACCCGCACCTGGTGGAGGACCAGCGCTTCCCACAGCAGCGCCTGTCCCGCAAGGCCAGGCAGAAAACCGACGTCTTCGACCCCGACTACCTGGCCAGAGCCTCTCCCTTCGCCGAGAACGACGTGCACAGCCGGGCCGCGCACCTGCACCTGCGCGACGCCGCCCTGGGCGCCGGCCGCCGCCGCCTCAACCCCAACGCCGTCACCAAGAAGTTCGTGAAGAGGAGGTGAGGGGCAGGACGGGCCCTGCCTGTCCAGGTGTGGTGGTGGCTCTGCCAGGGCCAGGCCATCCTGTCCCCGCTGCGCTGGTGCCCAGAGAGCCGCCGTGGCCCTGGGCAGGGGCCATGTCACCCAATAAACACCAAACCCCAAAGCACCGTGACTCGCTCCCATTTCTGCAGCTGCCTGTGCCAGGGGGAGCCTTTCTCTGAGCCTCGAGGGCTGGGACAGAGGGAGGGAGGATTCCTTGGATCTTTTGCCCCATGGGCTAATGAGCTCCAGAAGAACAGAAGCCCAGGGCAGGGCGTGGCAATGCTCAGGGCTGAAGGGGGAGACTCTGGGGTAAAGCTTTTTGGATAAATCTGCTGAAATCTTCCACTATTGACTGTTGGGCCCAGCTCCTGCTGCAGTTTCTCTGTAACCCTGCTGAAACTGTTCCAAATGAGGAAATAGCTGATACCAGCTGTGGTCCCTGGTCCTGGGGAGTCACAGGAGAGGGGAATGCCCCAGCCCCAGGGCATTTTTAGTGTGTCAAAGCTGCAGATAAAGGGCGCTGGGTAAGGCACCCACACATCCTGCTGAGGACAGGCACGTCCCTGGGGCAGACTCTGCATCTCCCCCAGTGCCTCAGAGACAGAATCCTGGGCTCTGGAAGCTGTTCCCTTGGTCACAGCTTGTGGGCTGGGTTGAGCAGCCCCCCGAGGGTGACTGGGGATCCCACCCCTCCCTGTGATTCCCAAGGACCTGTTCCTGCAGCAGCTGCAGCGTCCCAGGCACGGCTCTGGAGATGCCCTTGGAAAAACCATCACAAGACTTTACACTGTAAAATGAAAACTTTCATCGTTTATTCTCGACTGCAGCTGTTTACAGAAATATAGTTGCGAGTATACAAATGTCCCAATAGAAGCAAAATATTTTTATTTTTTTTAATATTCAACAAGTTATCACAGGAGAGCTAAAAACATAGATGCAAATAAAATATCCCCTCATAGACAAACTGAAAACACCGGGAATCAGTGCTTGGAAAACCCACCTACGAAAGCCATATACACAGAACTGCACAAAGGAGTATCTGGTGCTACTTTCACACTGCAGGACACAGAAGAGGCAGCTCAGCGGTCGAGGGTGCACCCAGAACATCTGGCAGGCAGGGGAGAGCCCACCAGAGGTGCAGGGACAGAGACGGAGGTTGGAGCTCTGCTCTGAAGGGCTGGAGCTTAAGTCAGCATCAGCTCAGATGGAAATAATTTAAATTGTCTCCTTTTATCCAGAATAAAAAAGCTTCAGGAATGCTGCAGGCTGCTAAGAATACTGGAATGGGGTCCCAGTTCTGCAACACCCAAAGAGCCACTTCCAAACAGGAACTTCCCCTGGACACGTAACCCCAGGGGCAGCCACGGTCCTGCCCAGGGCGCTCGGGCCAGACCCCGTTCCATGGGGCAGCTCCAGGGCCAAAACCAAGCCCAGGCCATTTCTTTACCTGCCAGGTGAACCCAGGACCCTTCCCTAATCACAGGCCTGGAGCTGGAATGTGTCACAGGGGGCTGCTGGGTGTGGGAACCTTGGAACCTGAACAGGGGGGTCAGTGACCAGGGAATCCCTGGATTCCTTGCCCTGTCCCTACACACTGAATGGCACTGGGCAATTTAATGAAGTGTAACAGCACAAATGACAAATCTCTGGAAAAAGCAGAGTTCAGCTCTGCAAACTCCAAGAGAACAAAGAACACTGGCTCTCAGTGTGGTGGAGGTGATCTAAGAAAACCTGTACCAGGACAACACTGATCCACTCATGACAATTCCAGTGGAACACAGATTTGGAATTGAAAGTCATGTTGGACACCATACACACTGCTGATTGTATGACCTGATTTAATGGCTGGAGCTGTCAGGGGAGGTTTAGGGTGGATATCAGAAGAGGTTCTTCCCCCAGAGGCTGCTGGCACTGCCCAGGGAATGGTCCCGGCTCCGAGGCTGCCAGAGCTCCAGGGGAGTTTGGACAGCGCTCCGGGGGTGCCCAGGGGGGATTGTTGGGTGTCTGTGCAGGGCCAGGGGTTGGACTGGATGATCCCTGTGGTCCCTTCCAGCTCAGGATATTCTATGATTCTTAGGGTTTCATTCCTCACACATCCTGCAAGAAAGAAATCAGCTCGAGTCGTGGCAGGTTCCTCACGGACAGAATCCAAGAGGAGCTCCACTGGCTTTCAAGAAGTTCTCTACATTTTGACTGTTGCACTACTGAGTCATTAAAAAAATCAGTTTACAGACTCTTGCCCTCTTGGGAATAAAGAGAAGTGGCAGAGGAGTTTCCTCTCCAGCACAAGCAGGGACCTTTTGCTCCACAGTAACAGCCCATGTCAGCCCAGCCCCTGCACAGCACAGCCACCAGCAACCCCTGTCTGCAGCAGCTGCTGCGAGCCTGGCCATGGAAAAGGCTCTGGAGCGCCTGCAGGGAAGCCCATCCTCAGCCTGGGAGTCACTTCTATCCTAAACCACATCTGCAAGTATAAACTAAATGATATAAAAATACAAAAGTGGCCACAGCTGCTTCCAACCCGCGGATCCCGGCGAGGTTCCCAAGCAGAGCAAGTTCTGGAGCCACGTCACCAACAGGGCCAAACATCCAGGACTGAGAGGTGTGAGACAGCTACTCATGAGTTACTACAAAAACCTCCTACTGAGGAAAAGGAATATTATTTCATGTTTATAAAAATGCAAATATAACAGTATTCTATGCATGTGTCTACTATTATTTATATATAATAATCTGACTCCTCTATATACATATATATAATCCTAGAATATACAGGCAGTGCATATTTACATCCCTATACAGACTGGGAGAGGAAAAGCCTCTCCTCCTATGTAACCCCCGAGTCCCCCACTCCCCCCTGGAGAATTTCACAAGTTCCCTTCTGCAGGAGTTTACCCCCTGCTGCATTTTTCCTTGTTTCTACCATGTTTATCCCATTTCCAACGCTGACCCTCGGTGCCGTGGCACAGACGCCCTGCCCGGGGCACCACAGCTGGCACAGCTGGTCTGAGCAGGAACACAAAGTGCTCACAGGCTGCCACAAAAGACTAAACAAGGCTGAATTAAAACAAAGCCCCTGAATCCCACAGCATCCCACTGCTGTTTCCTTTTAGCTTCTATGGAATGGAGCCCCCCTGAGCACAAAACCCATCGACTCCTCAAAACTCAGTTTTGCACTGAAGTCATCACCAGTGCCCAGCATTTCCTGTTCTCTCCTTCCACCTACACAGCTCGGAGCAGCCCAAGCAACTCCCTCTCCTCTCTCCTGCTGCCCTCCCTCAGATCCAGGTCTGTGCTCCCTCTGCTCTCCCCCAATGGCCCTGGAAAAGGAACACAACAGTTTGCCAAGCAGAGGCACAAGAAAACAGGAATAAAAATCCGTTCAGACATATTTTCCTTTTAGAAATTAACTTCTAAATCAAAGTATCAATGGAAAGTTTAAAAAACAAAGTTCAGCTTATGTCAGTGAGGGGAATGGCCACTGACACAGCTGCTTCCAGTAAAAACCTGCAAAGTTATGTTTAACTGCTCATGCCTTGTTTTATCTCCAAACTACAGGGGAAGCAGTGATGAGAAATAATCGTAATCACTGATCAGAGAGTGGACATCCACTTCAGAACAGCCAGCCTGGAGTTATTTCTTGAACTAGATTTGTGTTAAAATAAGAGAAAAGTGTTTGGCTTTCTGCAAGATCAGGCAGTGAGGAGGCAATTAACAACAAAACAAGTGTTAATTAAGCACAAAGCACCAGTAACTCCTTTACTCCAGAGGAGATGTTCAGCTCAAACTGTGCACAAAGTGTTGGCTCTGTGGATTCTGTGCTCTGGGCACACCCAGGGTAAAGCCGAGGGGACATGGTGGGGGTTGGCAGCTCCATCTCCCCCAGCTCTCACCTGTGCCCACAAATGGGTGCTCTGGGACCCCCCAGGACCCCCCAGGGATGCTGGATTTACACAGACTGACAGCTCAGGATCCTCTCTGTCACCCAAAGGGCCCAGGCAGGATGCCAGTGCTCCGTGTGCTCTGGGAACGCAGGGGCCAGAGAGAAGCTCTGCTGCCCAGCCTCAACTGCTAAAAATGTCACAAGGGAATGTTCAGGCCCCTGGTTAAACACAGATGTGGCTCAGGCTGTGCTCCCTGCCAGGACACCCTGCAGCCTCTCCTTGGCTCTTCTGGAGCTGATCCAGCCCCTCCGCCCTCAGAGCCGCTGCCGAGCACGCGCCAACCGCTGAGCGACCTCTTCAGTCACACAAATACTTTTTGTAACCAAATCACATGTTCAAAGTGTTGTACATTTAAACATTGACCTAAAATGAACAAGTAAATCTAACACGAGGAAAGGAAGGTGTTTCCAGAAGGGAAAACTGAGATAGCACAGCCCTTGGTTGGTTTTTTGTGTATGGTTTTTTTCTCTCTTCTCTTCGTAAGTGACCTCAAACGCCCACAACTCAAACATACCCTTCCCTGGAGCTGTGGCAGGCCTGGGATGAGATTCTCTTCTGGGCACTCATCCTGTTCCACGGAGAATTGGTCCCTGGTGACTTGGCACTGACCAACAAACGGAGAGAGCCCTTCGGAACAAGGAGCAAACTGCAGCAGCGCACGAGCGAATCCATCGTTCCTGTCACTCCTCTGTGTGACACCCAAAGGCTCATCCTGGGACACACGTCCTGCAAACACCACCAGTTCCTTTCCCAGTGAGTGGCTATGGACTTCCACAGCCCTCTGGACGTTGTTGGGTCCATTGTTGTCAGGCTGAGCAGCCCCACACAGCAGCTGGGCACTGCTGGGGGCCGCTGCTTTCGTGTTGTGAACCATTACAAGGTGTTGGTAATGTTTTGTCTTAGCAGGGGGAAAAGAAGTAAAATACAGAAAGAAAAAGTCTGGGTCGGGGGTTAAAGCAGCTCTGGACATGATGCAGCAGGGAATTCTTTCTGTCCTGATTAAAATTTCCAACATTTGCGCATAATCATAAATTAGGAGTTAAAACACAGAGGCGCTAATAATAAAATATTAAATAGGCAATGAGAGTAGAGAAAAGCTGAATGGCTCATTCTGAGGGAAACCCCAATATTTCATATTTTATATAATCCTAAATGCCTGTGGGTTTCCTGGCTAGGCTGTGAGTGAGGGACACACCAAACACAGAGCGAAGCTTCTCGTGGCCAGCTGGACCAACACTGCCTGATGGAATGGCGAGAGATGAACACGTTATTTATGTTGCAAAAAGTACTTAAATACTCAATAAAGACATAACAAACCCCACCCCACCCCACTGTTATCAGACGCCACGTTGTGGTAGAACATCAGACAAACTCACAAATTTACCACAAAAATGTGTGGCAAAAAGAATATTTTATATATATGTATATATATAAATTTTTTATATTTATGCCAATGTACTCACTCAGTACAAATAGCAAAATAGTTATACCATTTCCTAAATACAAAATATAGCTTTCCAAAAAAATGAAACACACATTAGATATAAACCATCCAAAACTTGAACGATTGAAAACTGTATTCAAAATTAAATGACCCAGAGCAGGTCTCTTTCTGAAAAGTTCCCTTCATATCGGCAAGAAGCCTTACTACTGAAAACGTAATTCAATGCCTCTCAATGAGAGAGAGAAAGAGAGAGACAGAAAGAGAAAGTGAACGTCGTGACAGACCAACAAACGGGGGAAATCCAGGAAAACCAACAAAAAACTCTACACGGCTCAACTACGCACACGAGTTAAGGGGAAAACACACAGTAAACAGACTCGAGGAACTTAAAAAAAAAAACCCATTTACAGACTGTTCTTTTGTTATTTCAAATAACAAAAATGAAAAATGCCGTGATACCAGCTAGACTCTAGCGAGGCGGAACGGGCGCCGCGGGAGCGGCTCGGCTCCGGCGGCAGCGGGAGGAACACGGATCTGAGCGAGGCTGTAGGGAGAGATCACACGCTGTCCGGAGAGTTGAAGCACCCAAAAAAATCCACATGCCTCACAATACACCTGCATGGTCTGGAGTGGGTTGTTTTTACATTCGGTAACATCAGTCAATGATTTATTCCTTAATTAAACACGACAATCTAGAAACCAGACTCGGGGCTCGGTGGTAGAAAAAGGAAAAATCACTTCAGAACTGCGATGAGCTCCATGTGCTACAGAGATGCAACAGCTCAGGATGAAGTGATGTTTTAAGAAGGCTTAAAAATGATGCAATTTGCCCCCTACTTGGAGTAAAGCCAAGCTGAAGATTTCCATCAGTCACAGCTGGAGGTGGCGGGTTAAGGGGGATTCCTGCGATTAGAAGGTGGTGGAGAAATTGCTTCCTCTCTCCTTACTCCTTGATTATTTGTCAAAGCTTCTACTGACTAAGCAATTTACTGCCAAGGATTCCTAAAAGCTGTTTCTTTAGCTTTAAAGCCAGTAGGATATTTATGTCATTTTTTAAAAACACAATACAAAACTGAGGGAGAGAAAGAAAACCATGGAAAGAATGAAAGGGAGAAGAAGGCTGGTTTGGGAACAGCTCATGAGGCTTTACAGAGCTCTAACCCATCAGTCAGAACAAGAGACACAGAGGAGTCCCTTTCTCAGCCACACAGAATGCTCTTTCCAAGCTGAAGGTGTTTTGGAGAAGATTTTAAGATCAATTGGAAGTTCCCCTTCATTTCTTCATTTTGTAGAGCCACCAAACCCTTGCTCTATGTACAGCTCCACGTAAGGGATGTGGAAAACCGTTAATCCCATTCTCAGATGGGAACTGGTTATTTACAGCAGCAATTCTCTGCTTGGTTATTACAGTTATCAATACTTCCAGCTAATAAAGGGAGGGTTTGGCTCTCCCACTCCGTGTCAATCGAGAGATCCCTTCACTTACTGACAGCTGAGCCACGGCTCGGGGCAGAGGCAGCTGCTGTTTCTGCTGCACGAGCTTCCTGAGGGAAAAAAGGGATGTGAAGAAGGAATAGGAGGGAAAAAGTAAACGTGGTAACATGGATTACCTTCCAACAACAATAATAACTGACCAGATATGCTTTAAATTCCAAGAGCCCCCACTGTAATGAGGTTTATGAACCTGGTAACAGCCCAACCCCACGCCCCAGTAACACAAAGCATAACTCCTCAGCATTATTGGCACTGTGGAGCTCAAATTCCATGGTCATGGCCTCAGGTCTGCCACTGGCCACGCGTGTGCTCTTTAAAGAGGCCACTTTTCCACAGAAGCAATTGGTTCCACGCAGCCTAATCCAGAGTTGGAAGGTCTGACAGGATCTGGGAAATCGTCTCTTTTTTTTCTTCACGGGATTTCTGCATGAGAAAACAAACAGAAAAGTCAGGCCTAACTAACCACAGTCCCCCCTTTCCTTCTGCGCAGTGGCTTCATCTTCAGGGTGTTCCTCATGAGTGGGCACTCAGCTGGGGGTGAGGAGCAGGAGAAGCTCTGGAGAGACTCCAAACTCCGTAACAAACCCCTCTAGATCAGGGAATGAAGTGCATCACTTCAGTGAAAACTCAGGGGGGAGTTAGGACAAGACCAGCCCAAGCTACACACCACAACCTCCACTGGACTCGAGTCCTGCTGGTTCTTGGTGCTCATTTGTAGTCAAAGGCTCTCTCCCTCCTCTGAAAGAGGCACCTTCTAAAAGCAGAATGTCTCCTAGCAACAGCTGATGCTGTCGGCTGTTTCTAACACAGCCTCAGCATGTGGCACACTCAGGAGCTGCCACATTCCACCAAAACTTGTTTTCACATTACATTATTGTAACCCGGGGGAAGAGTTCAGAACAGTTCAGACTTGAGGTGTTATTTACTCAGTAAGTCTCAAGTTCTTTAACCACAGTCATGTTTCATAAGGTTTGGATCTGCCAAGCTGCCAGTGATCCACTCTCCTCCCTAACAAAGTAACCGAGTGTCACCGCAGATGATAAAACGTAGGAAAAATTAACAGGATACAGTCTCAACTGTTTCATACAAGTTCTGACCTCTGACTGGTTTTAATAACTTCATTCTGGTATTATAGTCTTAGTTCAGCCTCACTGGTGTTTTAGGTGATCCCTTAGAGCAGGGTCACACACCACAAACTGAACAAAGCTCCTGCGTGGCAGGAAAGAGCCCAGAGACCCAAACTCACCACTTGCCTAATCAAAATGAGCCAGCCATGTTGTTCCCCTGGTTCTGCAGGGACACGAGCAGATCATCTATCTTCTCCATGTTCTGGTTGGTGGCCATGGCCGAGGGCAGCGGCGGGGTCTCGGGGAGCTGCTGGGACAGGAGCGCGGGCACCGCGGGCTGCGCCTCGCCCTGGGGCTGCCCGGGCTGGCCCATGGCCATCAGCTCCTCCGGCAGCGCCGCCGGCCCAGGGGGCAGCAGCTGGCCACAGTCTGGGGGACAGAGGGACATTTCAGTGTCCTGGCACAGGCAGGAGCTCCCAGAGCAAAGCACACGGCCCCAGCAGCAGCTGTGAGCCCTGGGAGAGCTGCTACAAGCTGCTGCCAGCAGCACCTGCACCTCTCCCTGCTGGGGCTCACCCACACACCCCTGCACACACACACACGCGCTCTACATCCCACAGAGGGCCATGGAGCCTGGCTCCAGAGAGGAGAAAAGGAAAAGTGCGGGTTTCTACAGCTAAGTACACTTTTAACAGACACTTTTCTGGACTCTCCAGCTTCTAAAACCCTTGCCTTCCTTCAGTAACGGGAAGAGAGTCAAAGTGTTTATTGTGGAAACCAAAAACAGCAAGAGAAATGCTCTCTTAAGAGAGCCCAATCATTCCTAGATTAGATTTTAGGGAGAAACACTTCCCTGTGAGGGTGGGCAGAGCAGCTGTGGCTGCCCCTGGATCCCTGGAAGGGCCCAAGGCCAGGCTGGATGGGGCTTGGAGCACCCTGAGACAGTGGCAGTGTCCCTGCCCATGGTGGAACGGGATGGGCTTTAAGTCCCTTCCCACCCAAAGCATTCCCTGTTTCACTGGCAGCTCTCCACACTGAAAGCTCAGCACCAGGCACTGGTCACTTACTGTTCTGGATGCCAAACAGGAATATTCCTGATGTCTGCTGGGATGAGGCTGGGGAATTCTGCAGCTGGTTGATGGCACCTCCCGCCGTGTTGTGGAACAAAGGAGCCTGCTGCTGGGGAGGAGAAGCAGTTCCTGGCATTCCTGCCATGCTGTTCTGGGAGGAGTACATGGGGGACTGCTGCAGCTCCGGCTGGCTCATGCTGTTCTGCAGGGCAGACATGGAAGCTGAGGAGATGAAGAGGGTGACT